CTGAGGTGGAGAGAAGCGTCCTGTTGCTCACCGAGTCCCTGAGCAGATGGAATGGAAGGTAGACTTTCACCTCCTTCATTACACCTCTCCTCTTTTTCCCCTTCTCTTTATCTCTACTCTCTCATTATTTCTTCCAGTTCCTCTAAAGTCTGCTGTTCCTTTTCACACTATAGAATGAGTTGTTCTGGCTCTTTTCTGTCCTTCGGGATTCTGCTGTGTTTGCAAGCTGAATTCTCAGCAGCAGAAGACAACTGAATTCGAAATGATCACAGTCTTACCTGTGAATGGGAGAAAATAATGAACCACTGCCCCTCTTTTTTCACACGGACCTAGTGCATTGTCCTTCTGCAGACGCATCTCATGGGCTCTCGTTTTTTTTTTTTTTTTTGCATGCTGAAAAATTATCACACTGCCCCTATCAAAGCATTTCTGGCTTTCAGAATAACAAATATTAGGCTGTTATGTGATATTTGATAGTCTCTATGTTAAGCTTATTATGGAGACTATCACCAACTTAATGAAAAAAATTGAAGGCATGTATTTAACATTTTCAGTTTATTTAAAACTTTAGAAACTTAAAACGAGAAAGTGTAAAGAAATCCACCTTCCAAAGCATGTCTTTACAAAATTGCACGTACTAAAAATGTAGATTTTAGACCTTTTTTAAATTGTATTGTCACAGTGAATGAGAGAAATGACCATAGGTCATTCAAAACAGCAAACCTCCGGGGTTTTAAAAACAAAGGAACCATTATGCGCTCTGTTTTGTATGTTGTCGGTGTCCCGAACCACTTGGTTTTATCAGTGGTTTGGACTCTCATTCTGACGGCACCCATTAGCTGCAGAGGATCCATTAGTGAACAAGTGATGTTATGCTACATTTCTCCAAATCTGTTCTTATGAGCAAATGAACTCATCTACATCTTGGATAGTCTGAGGCTGAGTAAATGTACCTTTTTAGGTAAACTGTTCCTTTAACTAGAAAAATCTACAGTAACCGCTGAAACCGGTTGGCCAAGATAAAAGTCAGACACCAGCATCCAAAGCATGGCATATGCTGGTGAGCAGACTGGTCTTTCAGCAGGGTAAAGGGGATTTCCCTTTTGAAATTGTAGATTATCCAGTCCAACCCCGGTAACAGGTAGTGATCTTCTATAATCAGATCTGAGACGTCATTTAGAAAATGCATTAATGTATTTATAATAAGTAACGACATTACTTTGCGTTTACTGACACATACCTACTTTCAGTTTTCTCGAAATCTAAACATACTAATAGTTATTATTAATAAAATAATTAATCATTAAATTAAATACCAAGTATATGTGGCTTTTTCTGCAGATCATTTATATTTGGCCGGTGGACATTTGTTTTAAAGGGGTCATAGGATGCCCATTTTCCACAAGTTGATATGATTCTTTAGAGTCTTAATGAAAAGTCTGTAACATAGTTTGCTTAAAATTTCTCAATGGTAGTGTAAAAAACACCTTTTTTACCCTGTCAAAAACAGCTCTTTTCAGATCAAGCCGTTTTTGTAGCATTTTCCTTTAAATGTTAATGAGCTCTGTTGACCCCGCCCCTCTCTTCCGAGCTGCTCTCAGAGAGATTGTTTACTTTAGCCGCCGCATTCATCGTGATACTTGCTAATTAGCACATTATTAGGAAAGGCGATTTGCAAAGATTCATTACAAAACATTATACTCACTTCTTCTGTAGATGAGGCTGGATCATGAATGATTTGCGCGAACATAGACGAATTTATGTAGATCGGGGGCGCATTCCCTTCAGAAACAATGTAATCCACTGCGAGTTCAGCGGCTCAGATGTCGGGAGTAAATGACGACTGCTATGTTCATTATTACATCCAACAACAGAACACTTCAATTGCTTAGGAGTCATTCTTGTCTACATCTGCTCCGGCGGTGAAACAATGGCGGACTGATGACAGCTCACTCAGGGCGGGTCTAAGGTAAGACACCAGTCCAGTCTGTGCTGTAACGCTACTGTCAATCAAACTATCGTGGGAGGGGCCTGTCTTTGTGACGTCACACAGACAGGCATCTGAGATCGGCTCGATTTGAGAAAGGGGTAAACATTTAACCAGATTTAAAAAAAAAACACTGTGTGGATTTTTATCATTATAGGTAACATTTCAGTTCAAACAACTTGTAAAAGTGCATGTAGCATCCTATGACCCCTTTAAGTATTTATGAACCACAGCAGGACGAACTGCCTATGCATATTGGTTTTGCTCTAATTCATCCAACCAACTTTCTTCTCCAAATCTTCTTTGGAACAGTATATAATATATATTATATGAAGCTATATATATGAAATTGAATCTCTGGTATGTTACATTTAAAAATGCATGGGTATTGAACATTTGAAACCGAAATGATGAAAAATATATTATTGAAGCAATCAAATATTTATTTACAAAGACATACCCAATAGATAAAGGAATAACAATTAGTACACGTTTTAAAGTGGCAGCCTAACTCTTTCATTATGGTGTGGATGGTGAAATCCAATATCGGTGCTGCAGGTGTGTGATGCTCTTGAAGAGGACGACAGCATTGGTTCATTCTGACAGCCTGAGCTTTCCATCTGCCCTGAGGCACTGATTTAACTCAACCTGTGACCTCTTCTCTTGTAGGTCAACTCATCCACTACCTGAGAGGAGAGAGGGGTATTAGAGCAGATTTTCCTTGACAGGGGTATTTCGGTATTGCTCAGGAAGGTATCAGAACATGTCTTACTAAACCTTTCATTGGGAAATGTCAGCATTTAATGGCACAATCTTAAATCCATCACAAAAAAACTTGAAAGGCAGACTTGAAACACAAATCTCATGTGGTTTTCATTTGCTATAACTGGACCCATTTCTTGGCTTTTGAAGACGTTTCATCACTCGTCCATATGGCTTTTCAGTGGACATTTTAACATTCAGTTACTGAATCATCTGACATTTATTAATGCTAATTTTCACATTTTAAACAGTCATTCTTCCTGTTATTAATAGCCCCTGCAAATTAATTTAAATAATTTTGCAACATTTGACACACTAATTTTTGTGAAAAGTATTTGTTAAAAGCTGTTACCGAAATATGGACATAAATAGTGTCGGTACAAATTAAGATGGACCTGCTTCTTAGAGCATCTTCATTTTTAATATATATTCAGGGTTTGTAAAGGTGAACAGCTGAAATACAAGCAGTCCTTGGGAAATGATCTTTATGAATTCATATCACATTCAGGACAGACTTGAACAAACTATTGCACAATTTTATCTGCTGTCACCTATGTTACCTTTCACAGCTGAAATCTCCTGCAAGTCATTCTCACACACTGAAATCCATGTGCGATTGGCCCTTCGCAGGGAGCTTGATTGACAGGCGATCTGACCAATCATAATGCCGAATCTACCATTTTGTCTGACAACCCTGTTGAAAAAAACCAGCATATGCTGGTTAGATATGTTTTGAAACATGGCAGCTGGTTTGAGCCGGTTTAAGCTGGCCATGTGCTGGTCCTAAGCTGGTTAGCTTAGGACCAGCTTAAACCAGCTCAAACCAGCTGCTACGCTTCAAAACATACCTAACCAGCATATGCGGGGGTTTTTTTCAACAGGGAAACAAACCAGACAGGAGAGTAGATTAACGTGAGTGGACTTAAAGTTGAAAAATGGTTGACGTCTTTCCACAGTTGAAATAAAATACCTTCTGATGTTCATTCATGTTTATTTCATGCTTTAAGTAAATATTAAAAGAAGATCAGTTCATGTGCTGCCTGAACTGAGGCGCTACAGCGATCTGTCACGACACATTGAAGAGCCACAAAATGGTATTTATTGTTTGAATTTCTTAAAAAAATGACAAAATTTGAAAGCTGACACTAAGTAACCTGCTCTGTCTTGTCTGTCGTCACATTGTCAGTGTCCTCTTTGCTCCACAATGTATTTTTCACAGAAAAGACAGAGCTCATAATTTTGTTATGAGAACGTTACAGCTTTAAAATTGCGTCATTTTTTTAAAAAGAAATTCAAGGAAATACAGTTTTGTGGCTCCTTCATGTGTGTCGTGACAGATCGCTGTAGCACCACATGAACTGTTCATCTCTGTTTATTAACTGCACAGAGTAAACATGAATAAATATCAGAAGGTATGTTGTTTCAACCACAGAAAGACGTCAATACAAGTTCTATGATTGGTCAGATCGCCTGTCAATCAAACAGGCGAATTCTCAGAATAGGGGAAAAATATTGATGTAAATACTTTACATCTGTTCCATTGTAAAACATTAAGGTAGATGTATTTGTTTATGTCTGTGTTTTAGATATTTATATAGTGACAGACTGAATCAAGCCAGTTTTCTTTAAAAGAAGGTTCCAGGTTAAATAGGGCAAGTTACTGCACACAGACTGATGACCTCATATGACCTCAGAAGACTCGGAATATAGAAAACGAGTCGTATGTGCCACTTTAATGATGCTTTTGTGCCCTTTTTAAAGTCATAGTTCACTCAAAAATGATTAATGATGAAAAAAAAATAGTATGAAAGTCAATGGAGACCAACTGTTTGGTTACCCACATTCTTCAAATATCTTTTGTGTTCAGCAGAAGAAAGAAACTCATACAGGTTTGGAATAAGGTGAGTAAATGATGACAGAATTTTCATTTTTGGGTGACCTGTTAAATCTCGCTTCATTGTATTTGGATGGGAAAGAGCAATCCTCTTCAAAATTTCTCCACATATTCCACAGAATAAAGAAAATCGTTGATTTTGACACAGTAAATGTTCACATCAGTTTCATTTTATTTAGTTTCATTTTTCATTAACTTGCATTTAACCCAAAACAGTCCTTTAAGTGCACATAATCCCACTACTAACTTCCTGTTACACTGAGAAGCAATGACATTAAACATCACTTAATTTCCATGACAGCTGATGTTTAATGAGGTCACTGAAGTCAAGTGTGATTGACAAGGCCATTCCCCACCTACACAGAGCCAATCAGAGACTCCACATGAGGATCTAGATCATTCCAGCCAGCCACGGTGGGAGGAAGAGTCCGACGGTCCCCAGAATGCACACCAGCACAAACATCCAGAGGAATATTCTATCAATCACCATGGCAACATATTTCCAGTCTTCCCTCACCTGGTGGGGAAAAAGGAGATTCATTCGTTTCAGATATCATGATATATTTTCCACTCGTGTCTTTCCCTCTCAGAATTGATTTTTTTTTTTGGATGACTACTTTCCTGTGAGACCACAGTGTTTTCTGTTTTTTGTAGCGTAGCAAGAACAGTGATAAAAAAATAATACCAGTATCAAAGGCCAGTTCAAAGTGCCTCAGAAGAACTTGAGGAGAATCTCTTGCTAAAGAGGAATCTAATGATTCAAGGTTTTTATTGCAAGTTTTTCAATCCTGGATATTCTTTTTTACAGTCTGTTTACCGTTAGAGTTCTTTTGTGTTTGAGTTTATTTTTACTTTGATCTGTATTGCATTTTTTTTCCCAGGAATCCTTCATCCAAAAACAAATTTATTTACTCACCCTCATGTCATTCCAAACCCATATGACTTGAAACAAGAATGAAACCATACAGCAGAGTTTCCTGAACTGTTTTATATCTTCAGCACAACGACTGAAGAAATCATGTTTTACTGGTGAGCGTGATTTCACCAAGTACAACATGTTCCTGGATCAACATCCTTGTTGATCCTGGAACATCATTCCAATCAACCAATCAGAATTGAGAGAGAACTTTTCAGGAAATGTCAGTTTTAGGCTTACAATCAGGATTAGGTGCTTCTACACTCTTGTTAATCAGCTATCATTTGCCACTGATTTTAGGAATAAATTATGGGTAAGGTTAGGTTTAGGGGTAGGGATTGGGTTAAGTCTGTATTTTTAGACAGTAATGTTGATCCAGGATCAACAAAAGATGTTGATCCAGGAACATGTCTTGCGTGGCAAAATCACGGCGACCATGTTTTACCTGAGCTGTAAATGTAAGTTTGTAGTTTGTATTGAATTTGATGAACTGAAAAGATTGCATACCGCAAAATAATGGCGCAATTGAATAGTGAATCGGTTGATAGGCAAAATTAATAGGTTGGTTGTTTTAATGAACAGTTTACAAAGATGAGTTACCAGTTTTAGTCATTGTGACTAACTGAATATCTAAATTGAAGTGATCATTGTTACTGAATCAAAATCTTTCTAACTTGCATGCTTTTTCAATGATAAATGTGAAAATGTTTTATATATAAGATTATCACATTTTCAGTTTGTTGTTTGTCACACAAGCTTGTCTACTTTTATGATTATTTTATTGTGCTTTTTGTCATTTTTGGATCTTCACAGGCCTTGGGCAGTTTGCTTTTGTTGAATGGAAATGATCAGTGTGAACTATAGGGCTGTCAAGTGATTACAATTTTTAATATACTTATTATATAATGTGCCGATTAATTAGTCCCGCATCAATTTTGGCTGAAGAATTACCCCCCAAAACTTCCTTATTGTTTTGCAAAAAGTAGCTTTAGAAAGTGAGTGAATGTGTGAGTGAGTGATTCAGTCAATCATTCAACTGATTTGTTCAGATTGATTGAATAAAACATGAAGCAAGTGTCTTTATGAATGACTCACTGAATCCTCGGCTCACTTGATTTGTTCAAAAATGTGGATTCATTCAGTAACAAAACACCATTGAAAACACAAGAGTTCAGCTGTTTGGAACTATTTTCTTTGGCAAAACTGAGAAAAAACAGACAATATTGACAATACTGTGTCTAAAATTTAACATAATATTAAAGGGATAGTTCACCCAAAATGAAAATTCTGTCATTAATTATTCACCCTCATGTCCTTCCAAACCCATAAGACCTTCGTTCATCTTCGGAACACAAATTAAGATATTTTTGTTGAAATGTGAGAGCTCTCAGAGCCTGCATAGACAGCAACGCAACTGAAATATTCCCAGACACAGAAACGTAGTAAGGACATCGGTAAAACAGTCCATGTGACATCAGTGGCTCAACTTCAATTTTGCGAAGCTACGGGAATACTTTTTGTGCGCAAAGAAAACAAAAATAACATAATTTTTTCAACAATTCTTCTCCCCCGAGTTACGTCTTCCGCCATTTTGGAGAGTACCCAAAAACGTAATCGACGTCATCAGCGTTGTTTACACTTAGGGGAAAGCATGCGTATGCATTGTGATACTCTCTAAAATGGCGGAAGACGTAACTCGGGGGAGAAGAATTGTTAAATAAATTGTTATTTTTGTTTTCTTTGCGCTCAAAAAGTATTCTCGTAGCTTCGCAAAACTGAAGTTGAGCCACTGATGTCACATGGACTGTTTTACCGATGTC